CCGGGAGGAGCTCAACCCCAGTTTTGAAAACCCGCCCCTGGTCAGCGGCTGGGCCTGCTGCGACGGCTCGGGCAAGGGCCCGCCAGGGTCCAAGAGTTCTGGTTGGAGTTATGTTTGTTCTGGACCAGGAGGGGGCCGTGGCTCGGGCCATGCATGGCTCCCTCCCTGGGCGCCGATGCCAAGCGTCTGTTCTCCGTGCCGAGATTCACGGCCTGATGAAGACCCTCGAAGGCGCCGCCCCTTCCCTCCGAGTCGGTATCGATGATAGCACCGTCATCCGAGATCTGAGGCGTGGTCGCAAGTGGTGTTGCTCTCCCAAGCGGCCGAGGCGCCGATCTCTGGGACCGCGTCTGGTTCTTGCTCCAGGGAAGGTTTCCTGGGAGCGGCGGCTTTGCTGATACATCTTGCGCGTGATCTCGTCCTCCTCCTCTCCCTTCTCCCCGCAAAGGTCGAACCCTGGACCTCACCTGGGCGCCCTCTGGCAAAGGTCAAGGGGAGAACCTCCGTGACAACGAGAGGACGCCGGAGGCTCAAAATGCAAGAGAAACCCCCAAAGCACCTCAATCGTCGAAACTCGACCCTGCCTCTCTACATACTTCTCCTCCTCTTCCCCTCCTCGAACCCCAAGACGCGTCCGTAGACCGCGCCTGGCGTTTCTCCTGAGACTTCCCGACCACTACTGATCCCGAAGATCAGAGTTCCGAACAGTTACACGGATGGGTGGCGGATGTGGCTCTCGCACCAGCGCCGCGCACACTCGTGTTAAACAACCCACCAGCTACGACGGAGGTCGTATCGTTTTCAGTGTGGCTCTCGCCTCGGCGCTGCGCACATTCGCATTAGAAGGCTCCACCGTTACAAAGATGGCGGGCGGGTCGTTTTCAAAATGTGGCTCTCGCAATAGCGCCGCTTTCGTGCTTAGAGCTTGCAACGATCATGTCACACAGATGGAAACCCGCTCCGTTTTGAAATGCAACTCTCACTCAAGCTGTCGTCAAAAAGATGCGACCTGACGCGTAGATTTGCGAAACTGCCACACACACACAGACACGGATGGAAGGCGTTTCCTTATCAAACTGGTGCTCTCGCTCGAGACCTGCTGCGCAACAGCTAGTTACGAGTGTTGAGGGCGGCCCCTTCTTGAGTACAGGGCTCTCTGGACACTTCTTTTACCTTTCTGTTAATACAATCGGAACGTAAAGTATAGACGGGCGGTAACAACGCAAGTGCCTTGGACGCCGAAATTGGCACTTTTTGCGCGGCGGGCTGACAACACACTGAAAGACTGGCCAGTGAAAACCGCGAAGGACGGGCCGCAGAGGTCAGGACGCAAGGGTATCCTAAGGACAGCCCTGCGTCCCCACTAGGAGTTTTGACTGTACCGCCTTCGTCGGTGCAATTCCTGTTCACGACTGAGCTCTCGCCTGGATCGCAGGCCTGCGGGGGCCGGACTTTCAAAGGGGATGCTTCCCGCAGAACTTCATGAGGAAAGGACTTGGGAAGGGAGAGTGTAGCTGTTTTTCCGCCGACATGAAAGAATGCTCCACCGGCCCCAGCAGGCAAGGAAACCCAATAGATCGCCAGCACCGTTTTCACATGCTAGCTTATCGGGCGCACGCCACTCCCCATTCTGAAATAAAATGGGGGAGGTCTGACTTCGGGGGGGTTCTGACTTGAGCTGTCTTGGAGGGTTCCGGGTGGTTCAGGCAGCTGCTCTGGGGGAATCTGAAACTGCCCGTCTGGCAAGTATCAAACCCCCCCACGCTGTATTACGGAATCGCGAGTAGCATGGATTACGGATCCGCCGATCTGGCGCGTGGGCACCAGATCGACGGATCCGCACCACGACGCCAGGGCCGCCTGATTCGGCGACGTAGCGCCCCACTTCTGCGGGAAAACGGGGCCCGCCGCTCATCCACGCGCCTCAGTTCATGCTGCCGCATCCCTGAGCTCACTCTGAAGCCTCCCTGGGACTGGCATGGGGTGGGAAACATCGACCTGGAATCGGCGATTACATCGCCGATGGACTGGCGATAGGCCCCCGATGGCAAATCCGCACATTCCTTCGCGTGCTGGGGCTATCAGACCCCGATCGGCGATCAATGGGCGATTGGGAGTCGATGCATCCCCCCCTATGCCAATCCCCCCCCCCTATCGTTGCCCCTGACTCCCTCATCCCTCCTCCCTCCTCCTCCCCCCCCCACGCACGCCGTTTTGCGCCCCTCATGGCGTCTCCACCACGGCCGCGCGCCGCTCGCCGCACGGAGCCGCCGAGGGCGAGGGGGCTTGCGAGCATGCACGTCGGCGGCGCGCGGGAAGGGGGCCGGGCTGAGGGTGCCGAGAATGTGCCCTCGATTTGCGACCACGTGCGAACCTACCCCTGCGGGTCCAAACAACTTCGCGGTATCAAGAAGCCTCCCAAAGGGGTCCGGGGAAATGGGGTCGAAGGATCGCGCCGCATCGCCGATGTATCACCGATGCATCGGCGATGCCTCGGTGACGTCAGCGATGCATCGGCGACGTCGGCGTGGAGAACACCGGGATCCAATTCGGGCAGCATCGCCGATGAATCGGCGATGCGGCACGATCCTCCGACCCCATCTACTCTAATCCCATCTGGGAGGCCTAGAGTATCGGACACCCCCGCTGCAGTTCACTTGGCTGCAGACATACTTCGAAACCTGAACCCCGGCCAGCGTTTCAGAAGCCTGACCTGTAGGTGTACTGCTCACGTGTGGTTGCCCTCTCGACCCTCGAGGATCGAGGGAGTGAGGCTCCTGGACGCCACGAGCGCCCTCTGCGCTCGGGGGTCTCCTTTTCCCAGCCCTCCTGTATGTGGTTCTCGCTTTGAAAAGGGCACTGTGGTAACCACTCACTCTATTATTCCTCCCCCTCCTCCTGCCTCCTCCGGCGCTGCTCCCTGGGTGGATGCGAACTGCGCACTTGTCGCCACTTTCGTCGGATCCTGCGAGGCACGGCCTAGGTGAGGGCAGCGGGGGTCCATTTGAGACCTCGCGGCTCCCTCGGGTGGCTGCGAACTGCGCAACTGCCGCCACTCCCGTGGGCTCCTAGGAGGCAAAGCGGAGGTGAGGGCAGCAGGGATCTATTTGAGACCTCGCGACTCCCTGGGGCGCTGCGATCTGCATAACTGTCGCCACTTTCGTGGGCTCCTGGGTGGCACGGCGGAGGTGAGGGCAACGAAGGTCCATTTGAGACCTCGCTGCTCCCTCGGATGGCTGCGAATTACGCAACCGTCGCCCCTTCCGTGTGCTTCTGAGAGGCACGGCGGAGGTGAGGGCAGCGGGGGTCCATTTAACACCTCACGACTCCCTCGGGTGGCTGCGAAATGTTCAACTGTCGCCACTTCCGTGGACTTCTGAGAGGCAAGGTGGAGGTGAGGGCAGCAGGGATCCATTTGAGACCTCGCTGCTCCCTCGGGCGCTGCGAATTACGCAACCGTCGCCACTGTCGTTGGCTTCTGAGAGGCACGGCGGAGATGAGGGTACATTTGAGACATCGCGGCTCCCCCCAGGTAACTGCTAACCGCGCATCAGTCGCCACTTTCGTGGGTTCCTGGGTGGCTGCGAAATTTTCAACTGTCACCACCTTCGTTCGCTCCTGAGAGGCACGGCGGCGGTGAGGGTCCATTTGAGACCCTGCTGCTCCTTGGTATGCTGCGAGCTGCGCAACTGTCGCACCTTTCTTCGTGGGCTCATGGGAGGTCCAGCGGAGTCGGGGGCCACGTGCACCCAGACGAGACCTCGCTGTTCCCTGGATGGCTGCGAACTACGCAGATGTAATCCCTCTCGCGGGCTCCTGGGAGGTCCAGCGGAGTCAAAGGACAACGCGAACCCGGGCTGGACCTCGCTACTCCCTGGGTGGCTGCGAACCGCGCAAATGTCACCGCTTTCGTGGACTCCTGGAAGGTCCAGCGGAGTCGGGGGCCACGCGCGCCCATTTGAGACATCGCTGCTCCTTGGTATGCTGCGAGCTGCGCAATTGTCGACACTTTCGCGGGCTTCTGGGAAGCCCAGCGTGGATCCAGCCAATACCTGGCGGCTCCCTGGGAGGCCGCTAAGTGCGCAATTGTCGCAAGATCCGTGGGTTCCTGGGAGGCAAGGCGGCGATGAGGGCAGCGCAGACCGTGCATGTCTGGCGATGTGTTCATTTGCATGCTGCGTTCATGCAAATATTCGCCTCGCGTGGAGAAGGGGTTGGGTGCGTCTCGGGCACTTGGGGGGGACTCTCCGGGTGGCTCCAGGGACCCCTGGGGACCTCCATGGACCTCCAGGGACCGGGATCCGGGGCGGAAGCGACTGGTTTGCCTAGCGAGGGGGGTGGCTCCTCTGAGAGAAAGGCACCCCGCCGCCTCGAGAAGCCCTCCCGCCATCAAGTGGGGCCACTCTCGGAAGCCTGCGAGCCCGTGAGCCCATTGCCTCTCTTGAGCACAGCGAGGGGGTCTGTCTTCGGCGGGGGCACCAACTCCTGGGATTGTCCTGGGTCGTCGTGGCAAGAATTCCGAGGAGGGCCCAGCCGTGGCGCGAGGTACCGCCCAGAGACCAACAGAAACTCGTAGTTCGCTCCTTCAGCTGGGCGCGCCAGCGAAAGACTCGCTTCGCCTCTCTCGAGAGGCTCCCTTCGCCTCCTCTCCTCCCGCCTCCTCCTCCTCCTCCTCCTCCTCCTCCTCCTCCTCCTCCTCCTCTTCCTCCTCCTCCTCCTCCTCCTCCTCAACGTCGTCGCGCCTCCTTCCCGACTGGTCTCCGTCACGGGCGACCTCCAGCTGAGAGCTCCCTTCGTCTGGGTTCTCCCCCTCCTCCTCCTCTTCCTCCTCTTCCTTCTCCTGCTCATCCTCCTCCTGCTCTTGCTCCTCCTCCTCCTCCTCTTCCTCCTCCTCCTCCTCCTCCTCCTCCTCCTCCGCCCCCTCCCCCGCCGCATCCTCTAGAGAGCTCATCCCGTCCAGAGCCATGCCCTCCCTGCGCGCGCCGCCAGGATAGAGCTGCTCAATAGTCGTCGCCCCAGCACACCTGGGCGAAGGGCCACTGCGCTCGCGAGCGGCGCCCGCGCGCGCAGGACGCAACTCCTCCTCCTCTTCCTGCTCCTCCTCCTCCTCCTCCTCCTCCTCCTCCTCCTCCTCCTCCTCCTCCTCCTGCTCCTCCTCTTATTCGCATCAACAGTTAATTCGCATTTTTCTTGGTAGTATCATAATTCGTCTTCGGTTTCTTCGTCTGGCTATTATGATTAGTATTATCAGTATTATTAGTATTCTTATGTTTGTTATTAATCGCACTACTAGTATCATTAATATCAATCGTATTATTCCTACTCACTTTCCTCCTCCGTCCCCCTCCTCATCCTGCTCCTCCTCCTCTTCCACTCTCCTCCACTCTCCTCCACACTCCTCCCATCTCGTCTTCAACCCTCTTAGCCATTTCCCCTCCTTTGCTAAGCCTGTAACGGTCTCCGGTGATAAAAACAATAAAGCCGCATGAGTGCAGATCAAGCGGCGCTTGAGGAACGAAGAAAAATGGATACATGAAGAGCCCGCAAGGAGATCTGCAGGAGTCGGAAATATAGCCCCCTTCCCCCCACAATCATCACTCCTCACCCTCCGTCGCTCCGGCAATACTAACGAGGCTAAGCAGCGTCTACATTCTAAGGCTGGCGCAATTTGCACAGTCTGGCCTGCTTGTCAACAATGTGAGGTGCATCTGCCTTACTGGGTTGATGCTAAAACAAATACATTACTGCCTTGTGCAGGCAGGCTGGCGTGGCAGCGTCAAAGAGCAGGCGAACCCTTCCCCCTCCTCACTCGTCAACCTCAGACAGACAGACAGACAGGAACCCTACGCCCATGGCGCGTCGGCAAGCGCACACTCATACACGACCTACACATCTATGTCAATATATGTCTCCAAACGTGAGGATCCTGAACAAAACCTTGCAATATGTCTCCGTCCCCGCATGCCCAGTGCGCATGTGGTCCCAGTAAGTTTGCCCACTCCCAGGGATGAAAACAGAATGGCGAAGGGGATCTCCTGCTGAGCCGCGTACAGCCTTGCCGTAGAACGAGCGGTGAACATCGTAAACAATTATTCTGTTTTCCGAAGGGAACGGGGCCACTTTTTCTTCTGGAGGCGCTCTTGGGAGTCCTCTTGGGGGACTCTTGGGCCGTCGTGGGGGCTCCCGGAGGCCGTTTTGGAGCCATCTTCGGCGTCTTGGAGCGACAATTCGGGAACGTTGGGCCCTGTTGGACGTTTGGATGTACACACACATATAACAATAATAATACTACTAATAATAATAATAATAAGAAGAAGAAGAAGAAGAAGAAAGAGAGAGAGAGAGAGAGAAAGAAAGAAAGTGAAAGAGAGAGAGACAGCGTGATCCACCGCCGCTTTACTGTAGAAAATTGCCGCCCTTTTCCTCGGGAACCCGGGTCTCCCCCCCTCCCCCTCCAACCCCCCCACCCCCCTGCTGGACCCCCCCCCCTCCCCTCCCCGGCAAACCCCCCCCCCTCCATAACCCCTCCCCCCACCCTCCCCCTCGAAAACCGGAGGGGGGGGGCACTACCGGTTCGAACCCCCCCCCCCTCCCCCTCGAAAACCGGGGGGGATCACTACCGGTTCGAACCCCTCCCCCCCCCCTCGAAAACCGAAGGGGGGTCACTACCGGTCCACTGTTGTTCCCAGCACCACTGTCCTCACCACCGCTGTCCCCACTGGTTCCACCACCGTCCCTACTGTCCCCACCAGTGCCCCCACCACTGTCGCACTGTCCCCACTGTCCCCACCACTGTTCCCACCACGGTTCCACTCTCCCCACTGTCTCCACGGCCCCAACCACTGCCCGACTATCCCCTACTGTCCCCACTGTCCCACTGACTCCTCCGCTGTCCCACTGAGCTGTCCCACTGTTCCCACCACTGTCCCCACTGTCCCCGCCACTGTCCCCACTGTACCTCTGTCCCATTGTCCCACCGCCGTCCTCGCCACCGCCTTCACCACTGTCCCCACCACCACTGTACCCTCCACTGTCCCACTGTTTCCACCTCATTCCCACACCACTGTCCCCACCACCACCGTCCCCACCACTGTCCACTGTCCCCACTGTTCCCACCATTGTCCTCACCACTGTCCCCACCACTACCGTCCCCACCAGTGTCCCACTGTCCCCACCACTGTCCCGCTGTCCCCTCACCACTGTCCCCACCATCACCGTCCCCACCACTGTCCGCACCCCCACTCGGTTTTCGATGGGGGGGGTCTAATGACCCCCCCCGGTTTTCGAAGGGGGGGGGGAGTTCGAACCGGTAGTGACCCCCCCCTTTTCATGATGAACTGGGGGGGAGGGGTTCGAACCGGTAGTGACCCCCCACCGGTTTTCCGCCAGCAACGGTAGAACACGCGCTCTCATACATACACACACACATATATATATATGTGTGCATATGCATGCATGCATGTATATATATATACATATGTGCATATGCATGCATGCATGCATGCATGCATGCATGCATGTATGTATGTGTGTATGTATGTATGTATGTATGTATGTATGTATGCATGCATGTATGTATGTATGTATGTGTGCATGTATGTATGTGTGTATGTATGTATGTATGTATGTATGTATGTATGTATGTATGTATGTATGTATGTATGTGTGTGTATGTATGTATGTATGTATGTATGTATGTATGTATGTATGTATGTATGTATGTATGTATGTGTGTGTATGTATGTATGTATGCATGCATGCATGCATGTATGTATGTATGTATGTATGTATGTATGCATGCATGCATGGATGGATGGATGGATGGATGGATGGATGGATGGATGGATGGATGGATTGATGGATGGATTAATGGATGTATGGATGTATACAAATATGTACACACGTACATACATACATACATACCTGCCTACATACCTACCTACCTACCTACCTACCTACCTACCTACCTACATACATACATACATACATACATACATACATACATACATACATACATAAGCCACGCGCGCGCGCTTCGCGCGCGCTCAGGCTCTAGTCAGAGCTGATCCAGGGCTGCCATCTACCTCGATCAATCTCAGTGCGCTGTAACTCCGGAGAGCCCCATCGTCACCGCGAAGTCGACATCCACTGCTTCCGTCGCCTTCGTTGGCCTGAACCACGCGCTCCTCGCACCCGCTTAGGTTTTAGCTCAATCGCTCCCGACTGCAAACTAGATCCTGGAAAACCGCGACGACGACGACGACGACGGCAGCCTCTTGCAAATTCGGAGGCGTCGTGCACCTGCGGAACACAAGATTCGGGGGTCTCGTCGGGCCTCCTCGAACCTCTTGGGGGCCTCGTGAGGTCGTCTTCGGGCCTCCATGATCCCTCCTGGGGGTCTATGGGTCTCCTCTGCTGGGTCAGAAGAGGAGAGATGTGGTTGAAGGTGTCCCCAAAGCACCTTCGGGGTACATCTTCTGGAATTTCTTCGGGCCTCGCTTACGGAAGCAATTGTTCCCGGAAGATGTTTCCAGAGAGCCTTCCGCGAACATCTTCGGCGTGTTCTCGGGCCTTTTAGAACCACTATGGGAATTACTGGGGGCATGGGAGATATGGGAGTTATTGGAATTACGGGACTTACCTGGGTGAAGGGAACTAGAAGGATTATGATAAAGAACAAAAATTATGTGAGTTTGGGAAATATGGATATGATCGGAATTATGACAAATACAAGAATTATGGGCCGTATGGGAAGTAGGGTACGTATGCGGATGGTGGGACTTATGACAATTGTGGACAGAATGGGAACTACGGAAAGTATAGCAAGTATGGGAAGGATGGGAATTATGGGTTTGATTGGAATTAGGGAAATTATTGAAATCTTGAAATTGTCGCGTAGCCTCGTCTCTATCAAGGAGGCGTCGTGACCGAAACCGTGTCCGAAGATCCGCCCGAGTGCGACCGAAACTGGCGCCCGAAATTTTCTGGCCGCGCTCGTGTGTGACCGAAAGGGTTGGTTCGGAACCGAGACGATTCTCAATTTCGGTCACGTTTTCGGTCACTGATTTGATTCGGTTCTCTACCTTTTCGGCTGGTAGGTGCGGGATGCCTCGAGAAATATGGGACGTATGGGAAATGTGAGAATCATGGGAAATATGGGAAGTAAACATTTGGGAATTATGGAACTGATGCGAATCATGAGGAATACGTGAGGTCATCCGTAAACCGTTGCCGGGCCCTTCCTGGTGTCACTCCGACGCAATGGTTCATCCCCGATTGAAGGAAGGTTCCAGTACTGGCCAGACTGAACCAGGCTGAATCGAACGGCCGCGAACCAGCGTTCCCCCAAGACGAATCGAACCGAAACGGAGTGGTCGTGGTGACGACCCGAACCGAACAGAACCAAGTTCGTTTGTGGATCAGTCAGCCTCGAATCGCTAAGTCGGATCGGATCGGAATGCGAGTCGGATCGGGCCGCACTGGCACAGAGTCGAAATCGAATCGGACCAGCCGCGCCAGGACACACGACGCCATGTGATCATCGGGCCGCATCAGATCGCCTGAATATCGGATTCGAATCGGATCGGGCCGAATCGGATCGGACACTGGGGCCCAAGACCCGAAGCCGTTTTGAAGGACTCTCTGGTCGTTTTGGAGGCGTATTGGGACCCCGTTGGGGCTCTCTTGGGGAGGCCTCTTGGGGCATCTTGGGGCGATGTAAGACAATAAGCCCTCTGAGGCCACCCTGGGGCTGTTCTGTGCCGTCTTCGGGAGCTGTGGGCGTCCGTGGACTCTCTTGGGGGTGCCTGGGGACCTCCTTTGGGCTCCCCTGGGGGCCTGCAGGGGCCCTCCTGGGCCGTCTTAGGGCTCTCTTGAGGGCTTATTGGGCTGTTTTGGTGTGGTTCGGGCGGCGTCTGGATGGAGTGTCTGGGGCTTCCCTTGGGCTCCACTGGGGGCTTGCAAGGGCCTTCCTGGACTGTCTTGGGCCATCTTGGGGCCCTCTTGAGCCGTCTCCAGGCTCTCTTGGGGGCTTCTTGGGCTGTTTTGGGGCGGTCTTGGCGGCGTCTGGGGTCGTGGTGCACGCTGGGGCCAACTGTAGATACTGAAAATATACGTTTCTTCGATGCGGAAATGGACCGATTTCAGCTTCTCGGGCCCTTTTCAGGGACATCTTGGAGCCATCTTGGCATGGTTCGGGGGCCTGTGGGGGCTTCTTGGATGCGTCGTGGGGACGGCCTGGGGCCTCTTGGAGGCCTCGTGAGGGCCTTCGGGGGCCCTGGTCCCCCCATGCGCAGCTGTGGTCCCTGGGCGCTGCCAGGGGGCCTCGTTCCCCGATGTTGATATGTATAGCCCCTAACCAGCTAGGCGGTGCTATGAAATGCTATGCAAGAGTGTTGGGCTATGAACTAGGATAGATGCACAAGATGCTACGTGGGTTGGGAGCTGAAGGCTTACCGACCTATAGCACTACGGGGCTGGTGATACATTGTGCCGCCTATGCAAGACATGAGAACTGGCGCGATTGGGTTGCGACCGCAACAGTTTTGACTCAAGACCGCTCTGAGGAGAAATCAGATCGTGCCCCGACTATCTCCAGGTTGCTGCGATTAGCTTGTTCGTACTGTACTTAACAAGTTTGTTATATGTGCTGACCGTACGTTTGTTACTCTTATTGATAATACAACTTAAACTCTTAGCATGATCAACAATACTGTTCGTCACTATGATTGTTCTTCCCGGTAATATTAAAAATGTTTTCGTCTTTGCCGTGTTATTATTATGTGTCGGAATCCGATTCGCATTGACAACAATATGATCATAATTGTTCGTACTAGTCTTCGGGGTATTCGTAGTTTTCTGATTCGTATTCATCGTCTTCGTTTTCCTCCTACTCCGCCTCCTCCTCCCTTATTACATGCCCTCCGTCTGCGTAACATCCTCCGCCCCCCTCCCTCCTGCACCCCCCCTCCCTCATGCTCCTGCATTCTCTCCTGACCTCGCTCCTTGCTCCCTCCGTCCTTCCTCATCCTTCCTCCCTCCTTTCGCCTCCCTCCTCTTCATCCCTCCTCCCTCCTCTTCATCCCTCCGTACTCCTCCCCACTCCCCATCCTCCCTCCACCCTCCTTCCGCCCCCTTCCATCCTCTCCTTTTTCCTCCCGTCTCCCGCCTTCATCCTTCCGCCTTCTACCTTTCAACTCATCCGTGTTCCCTCCTCTCTCAGTCTGTCGCTCGCTCTCTCTCTCTCTCTCTCTCGCGTTCTCGCTCACTCTCTCTCTCTCTCTCTCTCTCCCTCTCTCTCTCTCTCTCTCTCTCTCTCTCTCTCTCTCTCTCCCTCGCTCTATCACTCTCTCTGTGTCCCTCTCTCTCTCTCTCTCTCTCCTCATCCTCCTCATCCTTCTCCACCTCATTCTCCACCTCCTTGTCCTCCTCCTGTGCTTCATCCTCCTCCTTTTCCTTCGCCCTCCTTCCTCATCCCTCGTCCTCCTCATCCTCCTCATCATCCCCATCTTCATACGCATCATCAGCAGCAGTATCATCAGCATCATCGTAATCAGCATCAGCATAATCATCATCATCATCATCATCAGCATCATCATCATCAGCATCATTATCATCATCATCATCATCATCATCATCATCATCATCATCATCATCATCATCATCAGCATCATCATCATCATCATCATCATCATCATCATCATCATCATCATCATCATCATGATCATCAGCATCATCATCATCATCATCATCATCATCATCATCATCATCATCGTACTCATCATCATAATCAGGATGGTCATCATCACCATCATCATCCGCAGCATCGTCATCATCAGATTCATAATCATCATCATCAACAGCAGCATACACATCATCAGCAGCATCAACATCATCAGCATATTCATCACTGTCACACTCAGCATCACCATCGCCGCCGCCGCCATCACCATCATCATCATCAGTAGCAGCAGCAGCAGCGGCATCATCAGCATCATTATCAGCAGCATCAGCATCATCGGCATCATCATCATCATCATCATCATCATCATCATCATCATCATCATCATCATCATCATCGTCAGCATCATAACCATCATCACCACCACCCTGATTAGCATAATTATTATCATCAGCATCCGCATCATCAGCATCAGCATCAGCATCAGCGACAGAAGCAACATGATCACCATCATGATCGTCACCATCATCCTCACAACCATCATCACCATCATCGTCAGAGTCATCAGCATCATCATCACAGCTATCAGCAGCAGTAACATCAGCAGCATCCGCATCGTCATCGTCATCGTCATCGACAACACCATCATGATCATAATCACAATCAGGAACAACAATAGCATCGCCATCGTCATCGACATAACCGTCAGAATCAACATCCTCACAATTCATAATCATCGACGTCATCGTTTTCATCAGCATCGCCATCTTCAGCGGCATCGTCATCATCATTAACATTATCACCATCATCGTCCTGATCTCCATCAGCATCATCATTGACACTATCACCACCCTTACACGCATCGCAGTCATCATGATCCACAGCGTCAGCAGCATAGTCATCATCATCCTCGTCAGCATCACCATAATCACCCAACGCAACCATCATCATCAGCATCAGCAACAATATCAACATCAGCATCACCATCATCATCACCATCGTCATCATCAACATCATCATTCGCATCACCATCGCCATCACCATCACATGCGGCAGCATTATCATCAACAACATCATCAACATCATCATCACCATCACCGTCAGCATCAGCATCATCATCAACATCATCATAATGAGTACCACCATCCTCACAATCCTGATGGGTACCTCACCATCCTAACAACACCAGCCATCGCGCCCACTGCCCAAGGCAGGCATGCACCGAGGCGGAACGGCGAATTTAATGAACAACCGACGACGACGGCGACGGCGACGGCGACGGCGACGGCGACGACGAAGTCGACGACGGCGGCGACGACGACAACGACGACGGTGGCGGCGACGACGACGACGACGACGGCGGCGGCGGCGGCGGTCGCGGCGGCGGCGGGACGCGGCGGCAAGGCGCGGCGGCGCGCCGAGCAGAACACGGGCGGGTCTCCCGCGGGCGCTTCGTCAGGGCGTATCAGGTCCCGGGGGTCGACCAGGGACGACTGGCGCGGGCAACGACGGAGGGCGGTCGCCAGACGAACACGACCACGACCACGATGACGACGACGCCAACTCAGAGGTTGAGCGAAAGGATGAGGGCCCAAATGCCGAGGAAGACGAAGGCGAGTACGCGGACGAGGATAAGGATGCCCCCCGCCGCCGCCGCCGAGGCCAGAGGCCGCCTTGTCATCGGGGCGCAGGGCGCGCCTGCCTCAAGCTTCACTTCACTGAAGGCGCACAAACACAGGTGACTTGGCAGCGGACGGGGGCCCGGAGGCGAGCCGAAGCGCCAGCTGCAGAGACTCTGAGACGAGGGCACAACTAAACGCGCGAGGGTGGGTGGGGGGCGGCAAACAAGAGCCCTCAAATGGCAATGGAATGGCCATGGATCTGAAAGGATCTGAGACGCGGCCTCTCGTGCTGTGGCATCTGGCAATCTACAACGGGGTACTGGGCATGCCTCCCGCCGCCGCCGCCGAGGACAGAGGCACTGGCACAGATGACTGGGCAGCGGACGGAGGCTCGCGAGCCGAGGTGTCAGCTGCAGAAACTCTGAGACGAGGGCACAAGTAAACGCAAACTTGCCAAAGATTTCTTGGCCACCTCCAAAAAACAGCTGGTCGATTCACCGTTGCACGAAAAGGGTGGACAATGCTCTAATCTTGGAAATGCCATGAGCTTGATCGAAACACTGAGCGAGAGCCTCATACAGAGCAGGAGCATAGTTGGGCGGCTTTGGTTTTGAAACCACCCCCCTTCGTGAGACCGTGGACGGAAGTATGTTTTCTATCAAAATGCGAGCAGGCAGGATCTCGACACACACGGGCGACGGAACGCAGTGGAACCCGATTGGCTAAAAATATTGTAGGATTTTCCCGAGGCGTCCCCCACTGACACATATCCGCATACACTAGCTGGCTGATATCCCACGATGTGGCTTTCATGAGACATGGCAGCATCCAAAGACGCGAACCAGCGGGATTATCGAGAGCAGCGGGGCGCTGGAGCAAGCGCATCAGTTCTAAGACGCTGCAACAGAAGCCGGCAATCATGCTGCTATTTCGGATGGCCTCTACATCAGTGTTGTGTGCGAGACTTCAGGCACCCCCATGAGGTGCTGGCCCGAGCGGAGCCGTGAGGGGAGGATCGGACTGACTTGGCCCTCTCGTCTCAGGGGGCAGGTGCCCCTGGCCCTCGTCCAGGTCTGACGCGGCGTCCCCATGGAGACTCCCCACACCTGGCCCCCAGGATCCACCTCCTCAGGCGCCCGATTCCCCAGAGTCAGCCCGCGGTCGTTTAGCTCTGATTTTGAACTTCAGACCGCAGGAACTGCGCGTCATCACCTGCCCGTCGTCATCTCGTGGATTCTTCTCAGGGCCCTCGCCTTCGCCGCTAGGCCACTTCTTTGACGATGGCCCTCTGCCGTCATAGAAAACAGCGTCGATTTGGTCGCCGGTCAGTTGCGCGAGGAAGCCGTGCGACTGAGCTCCCTTGCCTTTGCCTGTGCATTTGCCTTTGGCCAACATGTCCGTTCCTCTTGGTGAATCGTCGGCTTTTGTTGCGCACAACATGTGGGTCTGTTCACGTGGTGTCTTCATTGTTCCCCACGGTTCTGCATCTGCCAGAAAATCGGGGCGTCCATCTGGCCTGGGGGCATGCTTCTGAACCGCCCGGACAAATCATCAATGGCGTCTCCAAAGTCTGAGCAGGCATCGCGACTGGCGCCACTCGCGCGCCAGCGGCAGGCCTGAGCTTGATCATCGGGCTGCCACGCGGCGGCGGGAAATGCTGCCCGCGGCGGCGCGGCGCTCAGATGAAGGCCGCAGGCGCCTCGGGCACCTGGGAATTCGGCGACGGTCGCAGCCCAACGGTCGAGCCCCTGCTCGTGCCAAGGGTCTGCAAGGTGCACGACGCGTTGGTTTACTGTTGTCGTCGGTCATGACTGCGACGCCTCCAAAGGATGTCGGGGACCTGAAGGCGCTAGCGATGTCGTTGGGTGACTGATCCAAAAAAATGGCCCACGCGCCTGAACAACGTCGAGAAACGGCTGAACTCAGGCTCTGTACTGGGCATCGTTTGCCGCGAGGCTGGCCGTGAGTTGGCCGGCCGTCACGGCAACCGCTCGGGGGGGAAGCCATATGTGTTCTTCCCATGGCATCGCAGCTCCACATTTGTGCGTCGCTCGGAGTCGCAGTGTGAGGAACCGCGTGAACATCGCGCTGGTGGTCTCGTTGCGCCGCCTCGAGAACTCGACAACTTCCCGTGTAGCTTGCAGGCGCGACTCTTCGCCAAGTTGTCCGAAGTGAATCGCGAAGCTCGCGATGTGGTAAGTATCGGCACCATCAAGGCCATTCACCAAGCGAATCAATATCCACATCTGTGGTGACTACGTTCCGACCGAGCAAATCCTGCACCCACTGGCGGAACGAGTACATGGACTCGCGTTCACGCGACCAGGCAGGTGGCTGACGCATGCTGCCTCATCTGCCGCAGCCTCCACCCTGCTTCTCAGCTCCTCCAGGCATCGTGCAGACCAGCCCGAACAAAGCGATCACGACGATGATGATGTTGCCCAATTGCGCCAAGATTGAAATCATCTTCTAAAATACCCCACCAGGATATGAGCTGCGAAGGCACTTTGGAACTCGAACCTGCACAAGGACGAACGCAAGCTCGACGTTTGGGACACACGTCGCAGTACTTGCACCCTGGGTCGGCGCCAAGGGTGGGGAGACGCGTACGTTAACAAACAATGTCGATTGGGGTGCGCAGCTTGCTCCTTAGGACGAACGCCGGCACTACTGCGCACAACCCGAATCCAAATACTGGCCCAATGATGCGGCCCTGGGCAAAACTGCGTTCCGCGGCCAAAATCAAAAATTTGCCCGAAACCAGGGCGGCGCGGCGCCTATGTGGGCCGGCGACCTGCACATAGCAACCAGCTGCTGTTACCGCAGCTGGGCGTCACCGAGACTCACACGGTGTGGCGTTGGCCCCATCGTGCCTGTGATTGGCCGGGGCGAACTGCCCGCGGGAATGCAGAACAGCCACACGCACATGCTGTTGAGGACAGAGCGTGTGGTATCAAAGCGGAAATCGAAAAAAAATCGACTGCGCGTCCACATCGCACTCTGCACGTCTTCCGTGGATCGCGAACCAGGATCGCTCCCAGTTCCGGTGCCAACTAAAATTGCGGAGGCACGTGGTAACGAGAATGTTGGCACGGCAGCGATAAGACATCTGAGCGGGGTTCTGTACTTTCCCACAAATGCGCGCTTGCACGCGCGAGCCAGCGCTGAGCCAAAACGGAAACAAGGCATCATGTTTGGATGACGAAGAAAGGAAGACGACGAGATGATGGGCGGGATACGACGGGCGAGGACGACGACGGCGACCACTGACGACAACGACGCCGACGACCACGCCGACGACGATGAAGACGAACAACAGAAACAGCACCAGACATCATCAGCAGCAGCAGCCGCACGCCCGTCTGCACTTTTCGCGCGGCGCGCGGCAACGACACAGACGACGACGGACGACGAACGACGGACGACGCGCGACGACCACGACGACGACCACGACGACGGCGACGACGACGGCGACGACAGCGACGGCGCTGGCAGCACCGGCGGCGGCGTCGGCGGCAGCGGCGACGACGACGACGACGACCACCAGCACTACCACAACGGCGGCGATTACGACAATGACCCTGACGATAACGATGATGATGGCGAGCACGGCAAAAGCGACGACGATGACGAAGACGACGGCGACGGCGACGACGACGACGACGGCAGCGACCTTGGCGGCGACGACAACGGCTGCGGCGGCGGCAGCGACGACGGCAGCGGCGGGCGGCTTGCGATGGGAGCGCGGCGGCGCGCGCCGGGTCGAAGAGCCGAGGGCCCCTGCTGGCGCACAGCGTGGGCTCCTGATGTTCCATCGACGACGAAAACGATGACGACGACGATGACGACGACAACGACGACGACGACGACGATGACGACGACGGAGGAGGAAAAAGAACGCGACAGGCTAGCGCCTCATGGCAAGTCTAATGTAAAAAGGAGGAGTCGGAGGAGTGGGAGGCGGGGGAGGAGAGGGGGGAGGAGGGGAGAAGAGCCAGGGGGAGAGGGGGCGTGGGCAAGCCAGGTGCGTTCGCGTCATATCTGACATCCTACCCCTCCCTCCCCTTACCATGGCGCAGATCCCCTCTTGACTCGCACGGTCGGATGTCGAGCACGGCAATGATCCCGAAAGGGTACGCGATGCATTGTAGAGCACGGCGTGGCATGGCGTAGAGGAGCACCGCAAAGCGTAGTATCAACCTAGCATCGCATGCCGTGGCATGGCACGAGAAATGACGCCAGCGCTGCAGCGGGAGCACGAGTCGAAACGAGCGGAAGCACGGAAATAAGGCCAGCGCTGCAGCGGGAGTACGATTCGGAACGAGCGGAAGCACGGAAATGAGGCCAGCGCAGCAGCGGGAGCACGATTCGGAACGAGCGGGGCCCGAAAATGAGGCCGGCGCCTCAGCGAGAGCAGCATCTTAAAAAAATGCAAGCGAAAATCCAACTCCGGGGAAACCTGTGTGTAAAAAACAATGCGCGGGGGGGTCGGACACTTTCAAACCGTCATCAGGGGAAGCGGGAGAGTAGTATTCATATCAAGATATGTGCGCTCGCGTCATATCTGACATCCTACCCCTCCCTCCCATCCCTTACCATGGCGCAGATCCCCTCTCTACTCGCACAGTCGGATGTCGAGCAGGGCAATGATTCCGAAAGGGTACGCGATGCATTGTAGAGCACGGCAAGGCATGGCGTAGAGGAGCACCGCAAAGCGTATATCGACCTAGCATTGCATTGCATGCCGTGGCATGGCACAAGAAATGACGCCAAGGCTGCAGCGGGAGCACGAGTCGAAACGAGCGGAAGCGCGGAAATGAGGCCAACGCTGCAGCGGGAGCACGATTCGGAACGAGCGGAAGCACGGAAATGAGGCCAGCGCAGCAGCGGGAGCACGATTCGGAACGAGCGGGGCCCGAAAGTGAGGCCGGCGCCTCAGCGAGAGCAGCATTTTGACAAAAAATGCATGCGAAAACCCAACTCCGGGGAAACCTGCGTGTACAAAAACAATACGCGGGGGGGGGGTCGAGCACTTTAAAAACCGTCATCAGGGGCAGAGGGAGAGTAGTATTCATATTGAGTAATTGTTGAGTAATTGTAGAGGATGAGGGGCAGGAAAGGGGGAGTGGGGAGCGGGGAGAGGGGGAGCGGGAGAGGGGGCGGACAAGGAAAAAGAGCGGCAATCAGGGAAGGAGGAAGAGGGGGCTGAAGAAGAAGGAGGGGGGAAGAGGGAGGAAGGGAGAGAGGGAGGAGGGGGTGGAGGAAGCAAGGGAATGAGGCTGGGGGCGACGGGGAAGAGGGGGAAGTGGAAGGGAAAGGAAAAGAAGGGAGGGAGGGACCAGCGCACACATTAATGATGAGGTCAGAAACTCAGAAGCCCGCAGCACTATACTGGTTGGCTCGCCCCCTGCAGCGAGGGCTTCAAAACTCTAGCGGGGTCCACCGTTCCTTTGGAGTGTTTTCCGGCCAGAACTCTAGGAAGCTGCAATGCCCGACCTCTTTTCGGGCTCCCTGTGGCAATCCGTCTGAAGGCCTCTAGAACACGATTCGCTCAAAGAGCCGCATCTGCGGCACATCAGGATACTGCCCGGGACACTTTCGCCAGCGTAGCCATAATACAACATCTCGCGCACGCGATGTTGGGCCACCATACTATAACGATGCGGGCAATATCCAGGGCACATACAGTGCGCCCTCTCTTCTGTTCTCGTCTGGGTATGGCACCCTGTTCTACGCTCAGCACAGATCCAACGCTCGCCATGCTTCAGGTTCTGGTGGCCCCCTTTGGGGTCTCCGATGGCGGGGAAGGAGCCGGCCTCGGAGGAGCAAGACCACCCTGGCAAGGCCGCCCCGCCAGTCTCGCTCCCGCAGGAGGGCTGAGGGACTTCTCGGGTTTGTCCAGGGCCTTGCCTCCAGCTTTGGTGGCCACTGTAAGCCATGGCTGGAGGGCTTAGGAACCAAAATCAAACAAAACAAAAAAAAACTTAGCAAGCGAACTTGCCTGCTGGCCCGCAACTTCGACCTGCCAACGGCTGGGTTTGCTAGCTCAGGGGCAACGATTCTTGGCAAACGTATCGACAGCAGCGCTCCCCGTGGCCATTCCTCCACGATCCCCTGCCGCTCTCTAACTGTCCAACGTCAACTCACGCCTCGGTTTCGTGGAGCCTGGGGCCCAGCGGGCTCAGGGTGGTCCCACCAATCACTTCAAAGGCGCCGTAAACGTTCCCGCGGGCAAGAACTCCCCGATTGACATTAGCGGTACTTTAGTAGTCTACAAAAACCCTGGCCTGAGGGTCAACATTGAGGCCCGGCGCTAGCACCGCACAGTGCTCAGCAGCAGGCGAAATGGCCATAAGCGCGTTGCCAACCTGCCTTATCACACAAGCAAAAGCATCACCGCGCGCACGAAGGAAGACGAGTGCCCAGCCAGCTGCATTGCACATGGCGCGCCCCCCTGGCTCGAGGCACAATCCGCCAGCGAAAGCGTCGCCTCAGAGGGCCTGCTGCGGCGACAAGGCGGAGTCCCGACACCAGAAAGAAGCGCTTTCGAAGCCGAGTCCATTTGGGGGCCCAGTGTCGGATTCTGGCGCAAGCTGGAGACCGAATGCCAGAGTTCTGGTCTGGCATATTTGATATCTGCTCGAGCTCCCCCGGAGCGAACTCCCGCCGTGGTTTGGCACTCTTGCTGCATTCTAAAAATCTGCGCTTGATTGGTCGCATGGGGAGCCGCATTCGCATTGGGGGGTCGACCTGATAGCCGGCAGAAAGCAGGCGGCCATGCGCCCAAACGAACTGCGTGAGATAACGCGCCAAAGAAGACTTGGCATCGCTGTCGAATTTGGTCCCTCCCATGAAGGCTCTGGCAACTCAAACGTCTTGGACCTTCTGGGAAAATCCGGGCTTAGCGGCAGCCTTACACAGATTCAGCCTGCACCGGGCCTGCGGCGTTTCCTGGGCGACCATCGCATGGACGCAGATCGCGAGCGGGCATGTATCCCGTTCTCGCCATTGACCACCAAAACTGAAACAAAACTCCATCCGATCCTCACCAGGGGCAGGACAGCAGCCCGAAAGGGGCCTCTTTCCGAACGCCTCTTGAGGGGGGGGATTGGCTTGGCGAGGTCTTTCAGTGCTCGATGCTCGCATGGCGCTCTGACATGCGTCGTCGCTCTCCAGACCATCGTGGCCCCTGCGAGCACCGGTCCTAGCCCAGCCATCCAAGTTGGGTCCGCCAGCACAATTAAAGTGAGCGTCGTTCTTCTGGTGACGCATCTGGGCCCTGCCATTCTGTGATATTCTGATTGGATTTCGCACCGTACCTGAGCCCCCGCTGCAATCCCGTCCCCCACAGCTTCCTCGCATCGCCTCCCACCAGTTTGATCGTTCTCCGTCGGCATCGCCCGCCTCGATGTCGAGTGAATCGCTGGCAGTGGGTTCGTTTGGCCAGTCGTTCCGCAATCCTACGCTGCGACCCCCCTCAAGGCTGACCACCCCTAAGGTGCCGAGGACTTTCCTGATCATCCTCCTAAGTGCGATGCTGGAGGCGGTGATCTGGGCCATGTGGGTCGCAAGCAGCCGTTTCGCCGGCACGCGCGCTGCCGTGTTGCTGCACCAAACAAGCCGGCGATAAACACGCGCAATTAAATTCTCTTTGAAAACCCCAGAGCACCCGGCGCCCATCGGGCCCCAAACTGCAAACGTGCACCAAAAACGTCGCCCATCCACAGCCATCTGCAAGCCCGAAGGTCGGGCAACCCACCATCTGAACTTGATCTCGTGCGGCCTCGATTTTCTGACTGCTGCGCCACGAAGCCACCTGGAGAATGGTGCCGCTGAAGCCTGCGTCGCGGGCACTCTGCATCGGCTCGTTGCGACTAAAGTGTTCGCGGTACTTGCAGAAGCCATACGGCGCAGCTCCCGCGAAAAAATCGGGAGTCGCGCCGCGCTCGGCCTGGAGACTCTGGCGTGTGTATATATATATATATATATATATATATATATATATGTGTATAACAGTTACATGTATAGACATGTATACATAGTTACCCGTGTATACATATACATATATATATACCTTCATACCTGTATGTACAGGCGAATATACATACATACATCGTGAACACCAAACAATGAGTTATTGCAGTCTATGCGGTGCAGTCTACATGGTGCAATGTATGCGATGCATCCGATGTAATGCCATATATGCATGCTATCTACGCGGCGAAATTCACCAGCGCACAACTTGACATTGTGAACTCCACTGCTCGCGCAACCACCGCGCCCACCCACCCGTAACTTGGTATGCAAAACCCATGCGGAGGCGATTGCGATGAGTGCTTGGCGTTGGCTGGTGCATCTCTGCGGCCGCGCCAGCCCGCGCATGCACGCGCGCGCAGCGGCCAGCTAGTTTGTCGCGACAAACGCGGCCGCGGTGGCGCTGACCGCTGGGCACACCCCAGCGGGCACTTCACTGCGAGTCGGCGACTTCGGCGGGCGCGGTATCATGGCAACGTCGACAACGGTAGACACGATGATGATAGTCGCAATGCTGGTGACGATGTGCACAAAAACGACTACACGGCCAGTGACGGCGCCGATGCTGATCACGCCGATGACAATGACGGCGCCCTCGCGTCGGCGATGACGGTTTTGGCGGAAGGAGTTCTGCGCGCGCGGCCGACGCGCGAGAGTGGCCCGCATGGTATTATCTGATCGCTTCGCTCATTCCGCCGGCCCATTTCGCATCACTGTGGCTGCGTGATGGTGTTCTTGTGCCTGTGGGGGCCTCTCGGGGGCCTCAGGGTCTCTTTCTGGGAGGCCCTAAGGCGGCGCGCAAGAGCAGAACCATCTCCGATGGGGGCTTGCGGGGGGACCTGCCCGGGACCTGCTCGGGGTACTTGTCGGCCGCGGATATCCAGGGGCCGCCCTGCGCGCGCGAACTGGACATACTGTTTTCCAGTTACTGGAGATCTTAGCACGCCTCTGGCTCGTTGGGCCGGCGGATTTAAAGTGATCGTGGCCTCGGCGGTCCGAAGATTGCTTCATTTGCGAGGGGCGTGGCCTTGGGTATGCTCATGTTGCGGAATTTGCGGGGGATCGTGGCTTTGGGAACGCGAATACGGGGCAATTTGAAAGGAATTGCGGCATCCAGAACGCGAATATTGAGTAAATTGTGACGGATCCTGATTTCGAGGACACCAATATTGTATCCTCCTTGGTGGCCCTGGGGGGCCACTCGCGCCGGGGGGCATTTCGGTGTTCCCTCGACGATCGACGAGGAACGTGGCCCATGGGTTTTTCAAAGTAGGTATTTTGGGATTTCCAATCTCAATATACTTTAAACGCCGTCCTACTTAAATGATCGAGTGTATTCACCTGTTCCGTCATCCTCACGGGGCGAGCGGACACCCCATCTACTTTCAACGCCTGCTTACTCTATGTTTCTGCCTACTTCTTCCGACCGACGGGTAGAGCTGGACATCTTCGTGTGCGCCTGCTGTGTTCGACTGTTGGGGAGGAGGGAAAGAAAATGAAGGCGAGTGAGGTGTGATGGAGGAAACAGAGGACGAAGACGAAACTGTGGGAAAAGAGACAAGCAGGGGGAACCAGGGAAAACGACGAGGGTCGAGTGATGATGATGATGATGCTTATGAGGATGATGATGATGTTTATGAGGATGGTGTTTCTGATGAGGAGGAGGAGGAGGAGGAGGAGGAGGGTCGGGTGATGATGATGATGATAATGATGATGAAGATGACAATGATGATGTGGAGGAGGAGGAGAAGGAGGGGGAGGCGGAGGAGTAGGAGGAGGACAAGGAGGAGCCGGACAGAAGGAGAGGGGAAAAGGAAGACGCGGGGTACGAGGAGGACAAGCAAGAGGAGGAGGAGGGAACCCCACCATGGCTGCTTGCGGGATTGAGGTGTGACATGGTAGCGATGCAGAGCAGGGGAGAGGAAAGGGACGCTGAATGTATCGTCTTGATGATTTATTGTAGAGCTCTTCGTTGGAGAATAGAGGTTCGTTGAAGCAGAGGGGGGAGGGGTTGAGGTTCGTTGAAGCACAGGGGGGGAGGGGGAGGAGGGGGAAAGAGGGGAAGAGAAGGAGGAAGAGGAGGAAGAGGAGGATTTGGAGGAGGAAGAGGAAGAGGAGAGGGCAAGGATGAAGAGGAGGCCTTTTGATTCCTGTCGTGATGATTGATTGTGGCGCATTTCGTCCAAGGAGGAAGGGTCGTTGGCGCTGAGGGGGGAGAAAGAGGAGAGGTAAGAAAGAAAGAAGAGTTTGTGAGACGATAGGAGGCCTCTCGGGGGCCTCTTGGCGGAGCGCTTTTCGTTCGAGGATGGAGAGTCGTTGACGCAAAGGGGGGAGACGGAGGAGAGGGAAGAAAGAAGGAAGGGTTAGTGACACGATTGGCGGGCCCTCGGGGGTCTCTTGGCGGCATGTCTTAGCCTCCTGAGGCGTCGCGGGGGCCTGTAGGGGTCCTCTTGGGGGTCTCTTGGGGCCTCTTGGGGGCCTCCTGGGAGCTTCTTGGGGTGTTCTCAAGGCCTCCAGGGAACCTCTCTGCGCCTCGAGCTCGACAAATCTGTCCGGGCCCCCCGTCTTGGCCCGCCATTGAAGCAGTCTAGGGGGCCACTTCAGCTACCTTAGAAGCCTCTGGAGCCGTCTAGGGGCCCTCTGGGGCAAGTGTGGGCGCTCTTGGAGGGCGATTGGGCCGTGTTGGAGCGATCATGAAAGCTTCTAGGGCCGCCCTGGAGCGCCAATAAGCCCCCAAGGCGAGAACGGCAAAAACCTTGAACAATCATAGGAAAACCGCTCATGTCTGTCTCTGTGGGCCCTCTTGGGAGGTGTCTTGGGGCCTTTTGTGTCAGCTATGACCAGTTATCTCGCAGCCCTCCATCATTTATCCTTACAGGGAAGATGTTACTATAATGTATATTCTGCAGCATGGTGAGCCGTCATCAGATAACGGCAGCTGGCGCCGTTTGGCAAAAGGATTGGTTGTTGGATTGTGTTTCGACATTTCCTTTCAGTGAAGAGATTTGTGCAGACGCTGTCGCTTTCCGCCAGAGCTGAGAGAATAGGTAGACTTCGCTAACATGGTAGCGAAGCTACAACGGAGATCCACGGCAGGAACGGCACGTTCAACTTCAGGGTGTGAGACCGATAACGGAGTTCCAACATGGAACGGAGATCCTCTACTGTTTGAGAGTTACGCCAATGCCGTTCTTGGGTACAGAGCAGGACTCAAGTCGAACGAGAAAGGGCAGGCTGCAGCTCGACTGTGGTCTGCACTGAATGGAGCTGCCAAGGAAACGGTGAAGGATCTACGACCAGCGACGATACTGAACGGCGATGGCGTTGACAATATTCTCCGACACCTTCGGGAAGGGGGGAAGGGCCTCTCGCCAAGATGCCGATTCTCGACGCCTACCAGACGATTAGAGTACGATCAGTTGGTTCGGAATCCGGGCGAGGTGATCAGATAATACATCATCAGAGTGGGTAACCTGTTCAAGGAGATGCGACAAGCTCTACGGAGAGTACGAGAGGATCGCCAGCGTCGCTCGGGTCAGAAGAGTGGTGGAACACAACTACCTAGAGTTGCTGAAGATGACGAGACCAGGGCGGCGAGAGCGATGGAAGATACGGATATCGGTGAAGAACGATTCGAAGAACCGGCAGAAGCATACGAATAAGACGAGGTCAAGTCCTTTCAGGAGTGTGCCGACGACCGGGAGTTGAGCTTCTTCGAGTCCGAGCTTCGAGGTTATCGCCTAATACACAATGCGCGGCTCGGAGAGACAGATGTTCCTGGCGGGCACTCAAAACGACACTAGCTACCAGGCGGTGGTGACGCAACTTCGGGCCGCCTGGGACGAGAAAGACATACGCGATCAAGATCGACCGCAGCAGAAACGTGGTTTCAGAGGCCGTGCATTTGAGTTCGAGCAGGAAGATCTTGAGGAGTGGTGTTCAGCTCTCAAGGGTGAATATGATGAGTGGCAAGTACATTATCAGTATGACGATGCTTCCAGTAGTTGGTGTGGATGCTACCCTGCTGACGAGTCATGGGCCATCGACTCGAACGATTATGAACATGGCTCGTGGCCATCCAAGAACTGGGACCAGCAGCAGTGGGCACAGTACACCGGACAGGATCCACCACCACAGCAGAGCGAGGTTACTCATGAGGAGAAGGCCCTGGAGGAGCAAGCGGCCGCCGCGGAGGTTCTCGCAGCGGCGGCCAGTCGCACTCTGTCCGAAGCACGTACAGCAGTGGCCGAGACTCGTAAGAACAGCAAGAGCAGGACAAAAGGAAGCAGCTCGAGCAACAACGGCAAGGGATGTTTGATCTGCGGCCGTCCTGATCACTACTGGCGCGAGTGTCCTGATCGTCACTCGGCCAAAGGCAAGCAGGTCGCTTCCAAGGGCAAGGGTTCCGGATCCAAGGGCTCCTTGAAAGGCAAGAGCTGTTTCGGCAAGGGCAAGGGCCAGCCATCGTACTACATGAACTGGGGTATCTGCGACCTTCACGTGATCTGGTCCGTGTCCAATCCTGTGTCATCCGAGCTGGTGCTGGACTGCGGAGCGACTACTACGGCGGGCGGCGGAGACGCGGTGACCTCGCTCGTCGAGACGGTGATGAAGGATGAAGGAGTATCCGCAGGCTGAGTACCACATCGACGGAGACGACAAGCCGTGGTTCAAGTTTGCGAATGGAGAGTGGGGCCAGGCTTTGTCCAAGGTGTGGCTTCATTCGCCTGTGGGTTGGCTTGGCATGTATGTTTTGGACGCCGACAATGTGCCAGCCTTGATGGGAGTCGATTGGTTGAACGATCGCGACGTGAGCTTCAGGAGCAACTCCCTGCAACTCTACGTGAAGCCCAAGGAGCCGACCAGCTAGGGACAGCACACCGGTGCCCGAGACTCCCTAGGGCATACAGGTGACCAGAAAATGTTGGGAGAAGATGTTTACAGTCAGTCAGATGCGTCCTGTCATCGTCACAATCGTCAATCAGGAGTTCCAGCACAGTTAGACACGAGACGGTCATGACCCCGAGATTCCGAGCGACGATTACGTCTCGAGCGAGATCGTGGGTACGATCTACGAGGAAATGACCTGGGTCGAGATCGTGAACGTGATCTCCTTCGACCTGACGATCCGGACGACCGAGGAGACCAGCGACTTGATCCCGCTCGCGACCGGTTCGAGCGATTCCAGCGAACGATGGCCATAAGGGATCGTCTGTTGCGGCAACACCACTCGATCCGAGACTCACCAGGACAGGTTGTTTCACGGACGGTTGAGAACAGTCGCACCAACGATCGAGTTTCCTTTGTTGGTATGATGTCTTCCAGCTCGAGCTCGACCCCTCCGCTGGCATCTAGGCTTCAAGACCTCTCGAGCCGACTTCAGGCTCTGAGGAGATCTCAGTCCAATTATTCCAGATCGTATGCCTCGGGCGCACTCCGAGGTTCCATGTGTGGACCGCGGGGATCTCCTGTGGGAAAAAACGTACCCGCCCAATCGAGCGGACCCGCGATGCAACAGCTAACCGTGTTACGGCCAGCACGAGGTGTCGAGCTACCAACAGAACAACGCCAGGGCGTGGCTGGAAAGCGGCAAGTGCGCTTTCCGGTTGGACTACGCTCCGAAGAAGGGTTTCTCGGGAAACTACCGCGGTCAACCACAGCCCGAGGTGGTGCAGCAGGTGCTGGACGAGATGATCAAGGACGACCTGGAGCCGACAGCGACCTTGGTCAGGCACCTGATCAAGAAGCACGAGCAGTCCAGGGCACAAGGGCAGGATCAAGAAGGAGCTGGGCAAGACCGAGATTCTCCTGGTAGACACATCGCACCTCCGACCAGACGGGCCGAAGCGGGTTCCTGTGGAGAAAGAGCTCGGCGAGGCGTCCTCGGCCTCGCCAGGTCGTGTGCCTGTGAAGGCGCCGCCTGCGACTCGCCAGCAGGTGCCGACCGCGGCGAAGTCAGCACCCCCGGTCGCGGTGAAGGTCCAGCAGGTAAAGATCCAGCAGAGCGCCGACGGTCAGGCAATACCAGTGGTTCTGGACATGTGGGATCAGGCTCGACCGAGGTGGACGAGGCGGAAGCCTGAAGAGCCTTACGACCCAGCAGAGGATGCTGTACGCGGGCACCCTCACGATGGGGTGCACGATCACGGGCCTCGTCGGTTCCATTATGAAGGGATCGACCCAGCCCAGAGCCGATTTCGCTAAGGTATGCTGCTCGCCAACCTCTCGGCTGACTGCAGGGATGATGGCCGAGGGCTTCGAGTGCCAGCGCTTGAATCTCGAGCAGGGATACGATTTCAACACGACGGAGTCGACTAAGAAGGCCATGGCATGGGTGCAGGAGAAGTCGCCGCGTAAGATGTGGGTTTCAACGACGTGCAAGTATTTACGGTCATGCTGAATATCACGCCAGAATGGAAGAGGGATCCTGTCAGATAGCAGAACTACCTACGCGGACAACTACGAGCTCGGAAACTCAATGGCCGTGCAGTGGAAGTTGTTTTGGAAACGCTACGCAACGACGGAGACATCTACTGGGAGTGACCTCGCAATTGCATAGGATAGGGGTACTCCCGAGCTCTATCGCCTCAGATCTACGGCGGAGAAGATTCTCGGGTGACCTCTCATCATGGTACGGATCGACGGATGTCAGGTTGGATTTCGTGACGACCATGGTGTTTTGCGCGGCAAGTGTTCTTACGTCTGACGAGCGTCTTGCCAATTACATGTCTCTGCTCTGTACGCGCGATCACGCTCACAGCGTCCTCGAGGGCACTGCTGCGGTGGCGGTTTCAGCTTACTACCCCGATGCGATGGTCAAGCGCATCGTGAAGGGCATCGCGCAGGACCTTCGCAGGAGCGACCTGGTGGACGAGTTCTTGAGTTCAAGTCTATGCTCTAGAGTCCGACACTAAGCACCATGAGAGAAAGTCAGATGACGAGAAGGAGCTCGAGGACGTGCGCAGGTGGATCAAGGAGCTGCACATCATGGGCGGCCACATGTCGAAGATGAACCTCAAGGTCACGCTTCAGAGACGGCTGTCCAGCCTTGGTCTCGGAGATGGTGGACGAGCTCGAGTGCGATGCTTGCCGGGAGACCCAGGATGTTCAACATCAGGCTCGAGTGTCACTCAGCTTGCCTCCCCGACTGTGGCAAGCAGTAAAGGTGGATTGTTTCGAGCTCGAGGTGCATGATCGCAAGGTTTTTGCAGTACTGTATCTTGATGCGGCTTGTAAGCTGGCCGTCCGAGTTGTATTCAAGGAGATCGAACTACACGGACGACGTCATTACTTCGAGCCGAAGGGTCAGGATGTGCTAAGCCACTTCCTCGAGGACTGGTGGCAGCACAGACCACGATGCCAGTACTTGATCACTGATCCAGGTGGAGGTTTCATCAGTCAGGTGCTGCGCGATTGGTGTGGCACTCACGGCGTAGGATTGTTTCAGAGCGCCGGGGAATCTCACGGGCTGACGGCGGACCTGGAGGTGCTGATCCGCACGATCAAGAAGACAGCACGACGGATCGCCCTGGACGAGTCTTCTCTTACTTTGGCAGACTGGTTGGCCGTAGCGTGTTCAGCACAGAACAACTTACACAAGGTGTCAGGATACACTCCTGTCCAGTGGGCCTTCGGAGCGGTCCACGAGGGCTACCAGTTCGCCGAGGAGGCTGGCATTCTCAACGGCGACGGACTTGCTCATTCGGAGCTGCTGAGTGCACTGGCGGAGAAGACCTACCTGGAAGAGCAGCACAGGAGCATCGAGACGAGGCTCAAACACTCCCTCCGTCGGAAGCTTTTCGAGTGCAAGCCAGGCGACTGGGTTATGTTCCTTCGATGAGGTAAAGACCGAGGAGTTCGAGGTACCTGGTTCGGCCCAGCCAGGGTCGTAGCGCTCGAGCCCAAGGTGAATTTTGGCGGCAAGATCGGTGACGAGTCGGAAGGGATGGAGACCATTTCGGTGGTGTGGGTCGTCCATGGCATACAACGCATTCGATGTCATCCCGCACAACTCCGACAGTGTAGCCAGCGTGAAATGGTGGTTTCTTCCACCAAGGGGGACATCTCGACAGGAATACCTCCACGGATGGGTGAGATGCTCAAGAGAGAGTTGGCCGAGTCACTCGGGGACCTACCTGATAGTCCCGAGCCACCGACCGACCTACCGGACCAACCACCGACCGACACACGAGATCAACCACCGATCGACCAAATCAGACGAGCTACCGACCGATCAATTCATCCGGCAACCCACGGACCGACCAGCACCGCCACAGGAGCCTATAAACTGACAGTCGGAGTCTTCCGAGGGGACACCTGTGCCAGCCAGGTCAAACAGACCTGAATGGAGTGCGCTTCGGAAGGTGAGGCTACGACGGAAAATGCATCCGTATGAGGTGATTGGAGAAGAAGATCTGACCAAGCAAGCAGACGTGACAACGTAGATTGGCGGCGATATCAGTGACAGGCAAGATTACGATATACCCGATGAGAAACAGGCCGTGGATCAGAGCGACGACTTTCCCAAGCCAGACGGCCAGGAAACACAGATCGAGGCGGAACCTGTACATGGAGTCTCTCAAAGGATTCCGAGGACGAAGATGAGCCTGCAGATGACAAAAAAGCGAGCGCGCTTTGATGAGTTGGACTCCCTGCACGACTTGCAAGCTGACGACCAGCAGTACTACGTATACCAGGCGGGCAACGAGGAGCCCGAGATCAGCAGGTATTTGGAGAGGTACGAGCAGGAGAACAACGAGACGATCGCTTTCTTCAAGAAGAGCGAGGAGCACCGCGAGTACGTGGAGGTCAGAACGGATTTCGAGCAGCCGAACGATTTCCTCATGGATCCGACCCTGTGGCTCTCGAAGAGGCTTGGTGACGGCAAGTCCACGGAGGCGAGCTTCAACAAGTGGGCCCAGGGCAGCAGGCGCAGTTTGACGACGCGATGGTGAAGGAGCTCAATCAGGTGATGATCTCCAAGGTCCTCAAAAAAGGGTTCGGTCCGAAGAGCTGGAGAGTATCGACGAGAAGCAGATCATGAAGATGCGTTAGGTTCTCACGTGGAAGTACAAGGAAAGTGGCCCCAGAAAGGCGAAGGCTCGCCTAGTCATCCTGGGGTGCCAGCATCCTCAGCTCACGGAGTTGGCTACCTCGGCGCCTACGTTGGAAAAGCTAGCTCGGAATTTGCTGTTTCAGACGTGTGCCCTCCATCGCTTCAAGCTTGAATTTGGCGACGTTTCTTCGGCACGTCTGCAGGCAGATGAAGAGTCAGTGTTCAAGAACCTCTTTGTGAAAGTCCATGTGGAATTGGCCAACTGTTTCAAAGACGAGCTGGGCAGACCATCTGCTGTCCTACGGTTGGTCAAATCATTATATGGTCTTACTACGGCTCCCAGGGCATGGTGGAAAGATAGTTCGGCCAAGTTGAGCAAGCTGGGATGGCGTCAGCTTTGTACCGAACCATGTCTATGGACTGTGTTGGACACCGACGTTATACTGCGCGGCATCATCGGTGTACATGTGTGTGGACGACTTCATTATTACAGGTGACAACAGTGGGTTGTTTCACAAGTCCCGACCAGAGATTCAGCAGTAATATCGTTGGGTTGCATGGTCATCGGGACAGGCCGAGTTCAGTGGGATTCGGGTCCGACAGTACAGCGACTACGGCATCACGCTTGATCTGTACGACTACACAAACAAGTTCATCACGGAGGCCGAAATCGATCCAGACCGCAAGCGGACACCACAGAAGCAATTGAGTCCGAAGAAGGTTTCTCAGATGAGAGGAGTCTGAGGTACCGCGAGTTGGAGGGCTCAGCAGGTTTCTCCTCAGCATGC